TGTCTCTGATGATGGGGTTGTCTGTGCATCTGCTCCAGGGAGAGCTGGTTATTGTGAGTGGTTTCATACATGCAAACATTGCTGTGCTGCTAATATTTTTTGGCCCACTAGATGGCGCCTATGTACTATCTATTTGGTATACTTTAAAATGGTACTGAATGTTGTATCTATTAATGCTCATGGACTTAAAAACCCGTACAAACGTGGCATGTTATGGAAGGAGGCAAAGAACCTCCGTGGGGACATTATCTGTGTGCAAGAAACCCACTTCTTAGCTCTTAAAGCCCCCCCGCTGTTCCCATAAATTGTTTCCCCACATGTTTACAGCTAATGCCCCTCAGAAAAAATGTGGTGTCCTGATTGCCATAAAACAGTCCATAGCGTTTCTCTCTTCTCTCTGGAGAGAGACCGGAAGGGTAGGTTCTTAATAATGGTGTGCGAACTTAATAACATTCCTTATACGATTATGAACCTATATGCCCCTAACACTAACCAAATTTTGTTTTTCAGCTCACTGAGGAAAAAGGTTGCAAAAATTCAGAAAGGTTATTTACTTTACTGTGGTGACTTTAATGCTATTGTCCATAAATCCTTGGATGTTACGGGGCAGTCTTGGGGGATACGGTGTTCAATGGCGTCGACCCTTCGGGAGTCCAATCTCTATGATCCTTGGAGGCGTCTCCATGATTCAGAGAAAGGACTTCACAAACTACTCATCCCCGCATAAATCCTACTCGAGAATCTATTATATCCTGACCGATTTACAACTTCTTCAGAATGTGACCAAAGCAACCATCCATCCTATGACGTGGTCAGACCAAGCGCCCATATCCCTCAGCATTAATGAGAATTTTCACCAGTATTCCTGTGGCGCAATGATGCTTCTATGTTCAATCCTAGTAGTCGCTCACATATTTCTAAATCATTGCAGGAGTATTTTACTATGAATGCATCCTCAGTAACGGATATATTTAACGTGTGGTGTGCACATAAGGCCGTTTGCCGAGGTGTGCTACTCCAGTTAGCTTCCAGGGAGAAAAAACGTAGACAAAGTGCTATGGTTGACATCCTATCTAAGATCGCTTGTTTGGAATCCCAACACAAACAGAGTTTGTCTGATAAGGTATTACAGGCTTTACAGTCTCATAGATTAGCTCTTAGGGAACTTCTCTTGGTCCAGCATGAAAAATACCTTAGAAGGGCCCAAACTAATTATTACACCCAGGGTAATAAGGCCAGTAGATTACTGGCCTCCTACATCAACACTAAACAGGCAAAAGCCAAAATCCCTTCACTTATACAGTAGATCCCATATCGCTGAAAAAGGTCTTCCAGCCTAACAAAATTGCGTAGGCATTTCGGGCCTACTATGCTCAATTGTATAATCTCCAAGATGATCCCAACACGCATCAGCCTACCCCTACTCTTATTGAGAGTTTTTTTGAGGGTCACTCTCTGCCTCGACTGGAAGTTGGAGATTTTGAACCAACCTATATCAGATTATGAGGTGAGAGCCGCCATTAAAGTGTTACCAAAGGGGAAATCGCCTGGGGCGCACTGGTTCAGGGCAGAATACTATAAGGAATTTCAAGACATCTTCTTGCCCCACCTTAAAAGAGTGCTCCTGAAGGCTGCCGGTACGGCGGCCTTTCCCCCTGAGATGTTGAAAGCAATTATAGTTACTTTACCCAAACCAGGCAAATCCCCAGATTGTCCTCAACGCTTTTGCCCCATATCCTTACTTAATACGGATCTTAAATTCTATGCTAAAATCCGTGCCACTAGATTGTTAACGGTGACTCCTTCTCTTCTCCAATCAGATCAAGTAGGTTTCGTTAAAGGTAGGCAGGCAGCGGATGGCACACGTAGAGTGCTTAATTTGTTACGGATTGCTGAACTCCGTAACTCACAGATTGTATTTCTGGCTTTGGATGCCGAAAACATATTCGACAGAGTTCATTGGCAATATCTTGACTCTAGTCTTGGAAACTTTGGTATGCATGGGTACATTAGATCAGCTATTACAGGGCTATATACTGTGACCACAGCACTAGTTTTTACATCCAATGTTCTGTGGGAACCTTTTTCAATTACATATCGGACTAGACAGGGATGTCCTCTTTCTCCTATCATTTTCTCATTAGTGATGGAACCCTTGGCGACCTCAATTAGACTGAATCCCTCGATTTCTGGTATAATGACTGCACACATGTCCCACAAGATCAGTCTATTTGCGGATGATGTCATTCTTACCGTATCGGACCCTTTGACTTCCCTGACAGCAATTTCCTGGATACATTTAGCATGGTTTCTTACTATAAACTCAATATTAATAAATCTTGTGCGCTTCCTATAGGTATTTCAAAAGAAATTTTTGCAGGGCCTTAAGGATAAGTTCCTGTACAGCTGGTCCACTAAAAGTCTAGACTACTTGGGCATTCGTGTGTCCTTTCCCTCTTCCAACATGTTTAAAGATAATCACGAGTCATTATTTGAGGCACTTTTAAAGGAGTTGTTGGCAGCTGGAAAAACTGAACTCTCCTGGTTGGGTAGATTAGTGGCCTTTAAGATGTTGATCCTGCCTAAACTTTTATACTTTTTCAGGACGATTCCGATCCTCATTCCCCATTCCTACTTTAATAAATTAGATATTGCATTGAAAAAATATCCATGCTCTCGTTAAACATAAATCTAAGGGGGGTGTAGGTCTCCCTCTACTATCCAACTATTACTACGCGGCATTACTGGATCAACTCCAACACTGGTTCATCCACTCGGATAAGTTATGGGTACAAATAGAGACCAGTACAGTCCCGGCTCAGGACCTCCAGGCATTAATACTTGCAAAATTTATCTCCCCGAAGTTAATATGTACCTATCTTCCTTCAATCTCGGCTACCTTGGATGCCTGGCTAACAGGTTTATCTAAATCTACTCTCGCTATCCCTAAAATAAGGCTGGACATACCACTGGCAACTTATGACCACATCATTCCCAATCTTAATACGAAGCCTTTTGAGAGATGCAGGCTTTTTTAATTTCTCGGATATCCCTACTCTGTACTCCAGGGGAAGCCTTTATCTATACCTTCAAATCCAGGCTTATCTTGGTTCCACTCTCGATGCATGGGTGGAGGTGGACTCAAAGATCAGGCAAGCTCTGACGAACCCGTTGGGACTGAAAAAGGGTATATCGTGGTTCTACAGATTTTTGCAAATGATCCAGATCATTCTGTATTAACGTGTGGAAAAATGGGAATGGGATCTGAATAGATCTTTTACTCCAGAGGAGTGGCGGGCAGCTTGGTCCTGTAATATAAGTTTCGAAGTATACTAATCATTGGGACAGCTCCCTAAAAATCCTATACTGCAGTTATCTTACCCCATTTAAACTTTCAAAAATTTATTCTGATTCATCATCTTCATGTTGGAGGAATTGTGGTGGTATTAGAACTTTACTACATGTATTGTGAGATTGTGGGTGCATCTGGAGTTTTTGGAAAGATGTGTTTCATTTGATTTCTCGAGTGTCCAGAGTATATACAAATCCCAATCCCCATTTGGCGTTATTAAATCTTACGTTGAATTTATTTCCAGTCCAATCCCGCACAGTGGTCGCTCAGATCCTAATTGCTGCCCGATTAACTCTTACTAAAGCATGGAAATCCACTATATCTCCTTCAGTTTCGGAGGTTATCCATAGAGTACATTCTCATTACCTGTATTAAAGGTCCTATGCAATTTCAAATCATACTCTACAGGTTTTTGATACTAGATGGTTTTGTTGTAATATTCTGTTCAAGCTCTCTGACCTTTGATAATAATGGATGTTATAAGATATATATTGCTAATAGATGCACTCTGTGGGACTCTTTCTCTTTTTCTTTATGGAGTTACAGCTTTCTTGCTACCCCATCTTCTCTCTTCTTTCTTCTTTGTCCAAGTTCTTTTGGATTGTTTTCTCCCTGTATACTCTTTACTTTTTTTATGTTTAATTTGTGTTTTGTTGGGCAACAACCGTGCATTGTTCCGTTGTTGGCGTAGTATCCACATAATATTTTCTATCTTTTTGCATTAAATATGCTGTGTCTTTCCGGAATAGTTTTTGACATGTATGTGATTGTATTTCTGCTAATGTCACGGCCATTCATTCTTTGTTATTATCTTTGAAAAAAACTTTAATAAAAACAAATTGAAAGAAAATCCTAATACAACGTAATTAATGAAGTCTTCTTCAGGGTTAATTTCTGTACCTTCTGTATATATGTATGTACATTATAAGAAGTGCAGCACTAATAATGTGATAAGATAAAATGGTAAATCGAGTTCATAAAAGATGTATAGGATCCTTCTTTATAATAAAAAAATCTGTGTCTGGAAACAGTGGTATAAATGCGCACTCACCAGAAGTGCATAGGAAATGCGCACTCACCAGAAGCGCATATGAAATGCAATTCTGGTGAGTGCGCATTTATACCACTGTTATAAAGAAGGCACAGATATTTTATCATAAAGAAGAATCCTATACATCTTTTATGAACTTTAATTTATGAATTTTATGAACTCGATTTACCATTTTATCTTATCACATTATTAGCACTGCACTTCTTATGCTTACAGTTTTACTAAGGTTTTTTTGGTTACCTTTTCGTGCTACAGCTGCTTTGCCAAGAGCGCTAACTTTACCCTATCTTATACATGTATGTAAATCATGCTTATATTGTCTGTGTCTACCGATTTTAATGTACAGTTGATTTGTAATTGAATATGATCCAAATAATAATAGCAAGTGGTGCATTCCCATCTCAGACTGGATTCTATATTACTCATATGCATATTATTGCTGTAAAAAAGAATGAAAGAGTTTCTTTTGTCCTAGCTAGTCAAATTATTTCTTGATTTCTAAATTCTTTATACAAGTCCTTTGTAAGTCAATGAGTGACTTTTGCAGTTACCAGACTTTTAGAAATGTACTAATTAGAAGCTGTTTATGTCCCGCAGCTGTGGACATGTATACCACTCCCTCTGCCTGATGGGAAAGCATTGTAAAGTAGAAGCTGGTGAACAGAGTCACTGGATCTGTTACCGATGTCATTCAAGTAGTAAAGGTCGGACGGGTTGCCAGTCGGTGGCTGAAATGAAAAGAGGGAGAACAGCATCTTTAGTCCAGGTAAGAAACTGTTTTAAGTATCTGTTTGCCTATATACTAATAGCTAGGTAATTAGCACATGTGCTTGTAGCTTTAAGTTCTGGATTCTAATTCCACCCGGGAGACATCACCAGCATGGATTTTTTATATTATGCGTTTGTATGTTATGTTCTTCCGTCTTCTGGATGTATTGGTTGCTGTTCAGAATCCAAAAATTTTGTTTGGTAGTTTTGTTGTCCATTAGTGTGTATAAGCATATGGTGCAGACATTGAAATATGAGTTCATGATGCAGGGAATGATTTTACATACTTGTTAAAACACCAAGTAAAATGTTGGCATTATATAATCCCAATTTTTTTTTTTTTTTTTTTAATTTTTCTGACTTGGTCTACAGAATAAAAGAGACATACATTCCACCCTGAAGAGACTTTGCACAGTTTGTTCTACTAGATCAGTGGTCTCCAAACATTCTAAACCAATGGCCACTTTACTGTTTTTCATACTTTAGGGGGGCTGGACTTTGGATATTGGGAGCACATAATGCCTCAAACTTGGTGGTCAGTGGGAGTAAACAATTAAATAGCATCCCTATTGTTAGGTGGAGGAGGAATAGTTCCCAGTCATTGGGAGGAATAGTTCCCCATAATTGATGTCAGTGGGAGAAATAGTGTCCCATTGTTGGTGTCAGTGGCAGAAATAGTGCCCCAAAGTTGGTGTCAGTGGGAGAAGTAGTGCCCCATTTTTGGTGTCAGTGGGAGAAATAGTGTCCCATCTTTGGTGTCAGTGAGAGAAATATTGTCCCATCTTTGGTGTCAGTGGGAAGAATAGTGCCCCATCACTGGTGTTTGAGGAAAAATGTGTTCTCTATCATTGGCATTAGTAGGAGGAATAATACCCCATTCTTGATGTCAGAGGGAGGAATAGTGTCAAGGGCCAGATAAAGACAAGCAAGGGTCGCAATTTGGAGACCACTGTACTAGATTAAAGTGTGTCTAAAGCCAATATTTTTTTTTTCCTGTTTTGGAAAACACATACCCTGAACAAAATTCAGCAATTAAGTTTAAAATTCTCTCTAGATGGTATCTAGTTCCAATGAGAGTTCCTAAATTTTGTTTGGGGTACTTCCCAATATATTTCTGGGGATGTCTTTATGCACATTTGGTGGCACTGTCTTGCTTTAAGTTTAGCTAAAATTAAAAACATAAAAAGCATAACTTATAGTTAGCATAAAAATATATGTAATTTAAAAAACATTTTAAATTACATATATTTCTTATTGTGTAGATCTTCCACCCTTTGGATCCACATTGAAATATTTTCATCTTATTTTTATGTATTTATTTTATCCAGTGTGCTGTACTCCTTTTCCTGATAAAGTGGCCGCTAAAGAGCCACAAAACCCATTGATAGTGTTTTAACTTTATATGATCAATAAATTCCGACCTTCTTGAGGAATCACCGTTTTATTGAATGGGTGCCTTTGCTGACCACACAGTGGTTCCATTTTTGGGCCTTATCCTTTGTACCATGGATAGAGGGAAAGCCTTCCAATAAGGATACTTGTTTTTAATGACAACTAAAGGAGGGTTTACCTTTCTCAGAGAAATTGTTTCACTTCCTCTTGTGTCTACAGGGCAGGGAGTGAAGGGAAATGTCCCCAATTGGACATTGTTGACAGCAAAAAAAAAAATCTCAAGCGTTTTATCCATTGCCTTCCCTATTCAAAATGTAAAAACATGATTTTAGATATGCTTTAAAGCAGGGATCTTCAAACTTTCTAAAGAAAGGGGCAGTTTAGTGACCTTTAGACTTTGGGGGGGGGGCATACTGTGCTCAGTGGGAGTAAACAATGCATAATCTTGGATATTAGGTGGAGAAATAGTTGGTGTCAGTGGAAGGAATAGTGCTCCATTTTTGTTGTCAATGGAAGGAACTATGCCCCATCATTGGTGTCAGTGGAAAGAATAATGCCCCATTGTTGGTGTCAGAAATGATGCCCCATTATTGGTGTCTGTGGCAGGAATAATGCCTCAAGGGCCGGATAAAGGCAAGCGGAGTTTGGAGACTACTGCTTTAACGCATAATTCTGCCTTAGTCCGTTTTAAAGGATAAGTTAACTTTTTAGAAAAAAAAAGAATTACCCTTTTTGTTTTTGTTTTTTTGGAGCCTGGAAAGCATTGCAATTTATTACTGAAGCCATGTAGGAAAACTGTCAGTGTATCTGTGTGTCTGTACATCCCGTATGGACAAGTAGATACAGTCTGACAGGAAGACTCAATGAACTACCACAGCACTCAATAGGGAGCGCTGTCACAGGGAGTGCTGAGATCAGGGAGCTCCTGCAGGATCAGGAACATGTTGCATGTTCCACTCTAAAAATGGGTAATACATGTAACTTGTTCCCAAAGGTGAACTTTAAGAACACATTTAGCTTAATGAAAATTGAGTCATTATATCTTTACTATTTTAATGCTTTTGCTTATATTCTTGAGCAATTTGAACTCCAGATAGTACAGAAATGTATAAGGATTTCATTTATTTATGAAAGTCTCCACAACGGGGCAGATAGAGAGGCAGTTAGTATTCATGGAATTTTTTTTTTAAACTGACAGTTGGACACACGGAGGCCAAAATGACATGTTACCATTTTGGGGGTTTACTGGCTAGAAAGTCATCTGTATTTAAAAAAAATTCTCCTCCATGATACCAATAACTTCCCTTCTGATAATGTTCTTCAGAATATACATATTCTTCCAAAATGTTATTGAAGAGATGTTCTAGGTAACCTATGCAGTTTTCTACAGAGAGCAGTTGACATGAGGGTTGGGGGGAGGGGTTAGGAGACACTTCTCTCTTCTCCATGTATTCAGAATGAATATTAGTTGTAGTGTAGGTGCGGTCACTGTGACCTCACATGCATCAATTTAAACTGGGCATGCATGTCAGCACAGTCACCTGATCCCTTTGACAATGTCTATTGAGACCGAAACTTTTGTCGTTGCTGGGCGGAGTTTGTGCTGACGTCACCCCTGCCTGTCTGGAGCCAGCACCAGCGGCTTTTTATGACTTACATGCTCATTTGTCTTTGAAGTTTGTAAGTGTTTTTTTTATTTAGTTTAATAAATCATTTTAACGTTACCACACTATCGAGTACACAGCAGATCACAATAGGCAAAGAGGAGAGGAAGAGAGATACCGAAGTCTGTGATACTTCTTTTCCATCTAGGATGTTATAAACAAGATATGTTCAGCATCATGTTCTGTTAGACCACCTATAATCTGGGGTCTAACTATTCAGTAAGCAGCAGAGTGTTTTTTTTGGTGGTGGTGGGCACAAGAGTCTCTATTTCACTACACACGTGGAGAATTATTGTGGACACGGCTGTTCATCATATTCAGGATTTTGTCATCAAAATACTTTTTCATTGTTTGGTGTTTCATGTATTTTGACTTAATAATATTATTGGAAGGGCACATTTAAACTATAAGTGATAAGCTTAAGCCTGGGTTCACACTAAAATGCAATGTGGGAAACCCGCAAATTCGTGTGAGTTTTCGCACCGCATTCAGATCACACTGCTTTTGCGATCTGCAGCTGATGTCAGTGCAATTTTAAGGACATGCCAAATGAAGGTAACAAACACAGTGTATTTGCCTTTACTGGGTTACATGGTACAAAAATACCATGTGACCCAGGTTGCAGTGCAGATCCAAAACTGGTTTTGGCACAACGTTGGTACGATGTGGTGCAATCTGAGCCCATTCAAAATGAATGGACTGAAATTGCTCCAAACTGAATCGCATGTGAATTGCACAGGAATGCGGTGCAGTTCCTGTGCAATTCACATGTGGTTCATAGTGTGAACCAAGGTGGGTAAGTGGTTCATAGTATGTACCAAAGTTGGTAAAGTTTAGAATGTTGATAAGGAGAGAAGGAACAGAGCGGCGCCACTCTGAGTGTAGATTGTTTAAAACCAGGCAAATTTAATGAATAAAACACTTACAAGTGTGGAGTAAAAACAAGCATGTCTTTGTAATTTGGTTTGCGCTGTCTGCTGGTGGTATCCTATGAGATCCTCTTCCTCGTCCTCACCGCTCCGGTGGATTCCAGGGTTGGGGGGGGGGGGTTAGCAGAGAGGCGCAGGAAAAGGATCGCATAGGATGCCACTACCAGACCGCACAAACCCACATGCCTGCTTTTACTACACACTTGTGAGTGTTTTTATTCATTACATTTGACTGGTTTTAAACAATCTACACTCAGAATGGCGCCGCTGTGTTCTCTCTCTCCTTATCTGTAAACTAGAGTTACTTCAAGCTCTGACTACTGGTTGCATCCACTTTCAAGACCCACATCCACCCAGAGACTATCCCCATCCTTGAGCTTCCTACTTTAGGACAGTGCTGGATCATATACCCGCAAGTCCGTATTCACATGTATGGACTCCTATATATTATTTATTGGTCCACTTATCATTTTAACATCAGCCTGTCTGTATTCTTGTGCTTCCTATCCTTCTCTGTTTTGTCCAAAGTTTAGAATGTTCCTCCTGCATGGCAAACAGGTAAAAAAAAATGGGTTCCCAGATTAACATATATTAGACAAAAGAGAGTGGGGTGATTTCTTGTCAATAGGTTGAAAAAAATTAAGCCTTGAATGTAGATGAACTGTTTTCCCTTACGCATATCAAGGCTGGCTTAATTTTTCTTTTGAGACATTACATTTGACAGCAGTGTACATTTAAACAGTTTTTAGATGAACTATTGTATGAAAGTTAGTTAATCAGGTTCCTCTTTAATTGTGTACGAACTATAGAATAAACATTTATATTGTATTTATTTTGTAATCCGTTTTTGCTGGATTTGTCATTCTACCATTTTCTGGATGTTTCATTCTGCCCACTTCACGAGCATTGTGGAGGATGACAGCCCAATCCAAGACAACTGTAAACTGGCTGGTGTATATCTTGCTTTTTAAGCACTAATTTTACCATTTTTTTTATTGGCTTTTAGTATGTTAAGATCA